TGTGGATTTGGAGTAGGAGTGGTGACTTGATAGAAAAAGGGGAAGCTATAATGGTTTCCTGATATCTGTCAGGGAGGAGAGTGGGTGGGTTCATGTACAATAATTTTGAGTTTCTGGGGGATGGAGAGATGGTTCAACAGTTAAGAACACTGACTGCTCTTGCAGAGAACCCAGTTCAACTCTGAGTACCCACATGTTGGCTAACAACCATCCATAACTCCAGTTCCAGGAGATCTGATGCCCTCTTCTGACCTCTGTGGGCATTGCACGACATGGGTGTACACATGCAGGCAATATACTCATACACATAAATAAAAATAATATTTTAAAAATAATAATTTAGGTTTATGAAGTAAAACATTTTATCCTCTTAACATGCAGAGCTGTGCCAACCACAGTAGGAATGAGGGGACTGTAGGGTTTTTGAAGAGTAAGAATTCATTCTCAATCACAACCCAACAGGCAAAATATTGGACATGTATGCAGAGTTAACATTTAGCTATTTATTTAGATTGCTAGGGAATGAAGTTTTATTTTCTTTCCAGTCTATTCATAAAGATTAGCATTGGGGCTGTTAGGATGGCTCAGTGGGTAAAGCACTTACTATCAAGCCTGACAAACTGAGTTTGATGCCCAGCACCCACAGGGTAGAAGAAGGGAGTGACTCCCACAAGTTGTCCATGGCACACATGCATGCAGACATACACACCTATATATACCCACACACACAAACATAGTACTAAATTTTTTAAAGATTAGTATTAGGCCAAGTGTGGTTGTGCATGCCTTTAATCCCAGCACTCAGGAGGCAGAGGCATGCCAGTCTCTCTGAATCTCAGGTCAGCCTGGTCTACATAGTGAGTTCCAGGCTAACTGGGGCTATCTGTCTCAAAAAAAAATTCAGTTATGGGTGTATGTGATGTGTATGTGTGTATATGTGTGCATGTGGGGTGTGTTTGTGTGTGTGTGTGTCTGTGTGTGTGTGTGTGCATGCGCGTGTGTGCAGGCCAGAAGTCCTCAGTATTTTCTCCGTCACTGTCCATCGTATCTTTTCAAGCCGAGTCTCTCACTGAACCTGAGGCTCATCAATCGGCTAGCCAGAAGCTCCAGGGATCTTCCTGTCTTCATCCCCACGTCAGCACCAGGGTTACAGATGCATGCAGTCATGCCTGCCTTTTTTACATGGGTTCTGGGGATCCGAACCCATGTCCTCATGCTTATGAGGCAGGCCCTGTTGTGACTGAGCATCTCCCCAGCCCAAGAGACTTTTGCATACTCTTTCCGCTAAGATGGCTTTCCTCACTGCAGAGTGACTATGAGAAACTGGCCCATGGAATAGTGCTGCCTGCCTTTAGAATGGGTCTTCCTACCTCAGTTAGCCTATTCTGGAAGCTCCATGACTGCCAAGAGGTTTATGTCCATGGTGACTCTAAATATCATCAAGTTGACAGTCAAGATGACCTATCACAATGCCTGGAGAGGAGGCACAGCAGTTAGGAGCACTTGCTGCTCTTGCAGAAGATCCAAGTTAGGTTCCCAGCACCCATATCATGTGGTTCACAGCTGCCTATAACTCAAGCTCCCAGGGATCCGGTGCCTTCTCTGGACTCTGCCAGCGCCTACAGTCACATGTACACATACACACAGAGACACACCTATACACATATTCAAAAATAAAATAAATCTTAAAAAAAAAGATTAAATGTCACAGTAATCCTTCTGAGCCCAGGCTCAGAGAGAGAAAGCTTCCTGCCCTGCAGGAGTGCTGTCCACAGACTGGGTACCTCCTTCTCAGATGCAGCTGTCCTCATGAGCCCTACCCCATTCCTACATTCCACCCCAAATCCAAAGCCCCCAGGCCTCTCTTCGGACTAGTACCCATATTGCAGCTAGGTATTTGATACCTCAGCACCCCACTCAACACTTTGGGGCATGCTGGGTGCCGTTTACTGCTATGAGTGAGTGACTATTTGCTGCAGACTTCACTATTAGACTAGAGCCTTGGTCCTATGAGGATGACTATGCCAGTCCTTGGCATCTCCTTGAGCAACCCAGCAACATCCTGATCCCTCTGAGCCTCTGACTGTTGCTGACCCATCTGGTGTTGCCCAAGCATCCAGTTTGGACTTCTGTGGAGACCACAGAAACTGCATGTGATTGGTGAAGAGATTTTAGGTGATATGTTAATTATTGAAATGGTAGGAAAAAATGATCCTTTATCAATTGTTTCTCCCCTTCATGATAACCTTGAGACAGACTAAATTTGATACTAAATTATAGTCAGCTTTTACCATCTGCAGACTGGACCAATCAAAGAGTAAAAATATTTGGAAAGAAAATGTGTCTGAACCAAATATGTACAGAGATGTTTTTTCTTGTCTTTATTCCCCAAACAACACAGTATAACAACTCTACTATCTTTGTCATCACTGTGACAAAAAAAAAAAAAGACCCTGAAAAACAACTTCTAGGCAGAAAGATCTGTTTTGGCTCTTTGTTTGAGAGGGTTCATTTCATCATGGCGGAGAGCATAGGGCAGAGCAAACTACAACCAGTGTTCAGCTTGTTTCCTTGTTTTTCATATTTCATTCTGTCTGGCCCCCAGCCTATGGGATATTGTTGCCTACAAACAGGCTGGGTCTTCCCTGCCTCAGTTAATCTTCTCTGGAAATATCCTCAGACATACCCAGAAGTAGATCTCACCAATCTCCTAGGTGATTCTAAATCCAGTCAAATTGACAATGATGATTAACCATATCACACCAACTGTTTACATAGCATTACACTGCATTAGGTTTCATAAGTTGTCTAGAGATGGTTTAAAGTATACAGAAGGGTATGTATAGAGTCTATGAAAACCCCACACCATTTATATCAGAGACTTGAGCACCTGCTGATTTTAGCGTCTATGGAGACTCCTGGAGCTGATCACCCTTTGCCTGTCGAATATATCTTTTTGTGTGCTTCTTTGTTTTGTTTTGTGTTTTTAAATAGGGTCTTGTGTGTCTCAGACTGGCCTCAAACTCACTATGTAATCAAGGATGACCTGGAATTTCTGAGCTGCCTGCCTGCCTGCCAGATTACAGGTGTTTGTCATCATACCTAATCCCTCTCTAACACTCTTAATTTCCTTTTAAACAAAGAATGTTTACTCTGAGATTTTGGCAAATGATATCATTAAGTGGATGTATCCATTTTGTTGTTAGCAGTGTTTGTTTGTTTTGAGATAGGTCTTGCTATGTAACCCTGACTGGAACTTGGTAAGTAAATGCTAGCCTTGAATTTTTGGCAATCTACCTGCCTCCTCAGTACTGTCAATATTTTTTTCTTAACACAACCATCCATTTCTGATATCAATGCTTATTTTTCTTTTACAATAGTGGTGGAAAGTCTACTATTTAATATTAATCATTAAAAGGTTGTGTGTGTTGGCCTACACCTTTAATCCCAGCGCTCAAGAGGTAGAGGCAGGTGGATCTCTGTGAGTTCAAGGCCAACCTGGTCTACATAGGGAGTTCCAAGTCAGCCAGGGCTACATAGTGAGACACCCTCTCTCTTTTTCTTTCAAATAAAAAAGAAAACCAAAACAATAAAATGATTAAACATTAAAAGGAAAATTTATATGAAGAAAAAGAGGTAAATACTAGGTGAGATGGTAGATCAGCAAGGCAGAGGTTAGGAAGGTACTCAGGGAAGGTTCTCTTAATCCCATAGGAACAGAAAGGCAGAGGTCACTAGTTGGTTCGGATCCCCCAGCTCTACAAAGAGGCATGCTGGAGACAGGGGCACACAGTTAGCAGTGGGGGAGGTCATTCCTCTTTCTAGTGACCCTCTGAAATGAAGGGTCATTTGGGAGGGTGGATATGTTATCTAGGCCAGCAGTTGCCTAGTGTGACAGCTGCTAAGTAATATCAAGGACTGGTACCAATTCTGTGATATTGATTAATCCACTTATCAAGATAAAGGGGAGATAGGTACAGTTGCCCCTCAGTGTCCAAGGGGATCAGATTCAGGATCCTTACAGGTACCAAAGTTCACTGCTGCTCAGGGCCCTTATATAAAATGACAGTATTTGCAAAGAATCTGTTACATCCTTTTGTGTATTGCAAGTCATCTCTAGATGACTTAAAATACCCAATACAGGCCGGGCATGGTGGCGCATGCCTTTAATCCCAGCACTCGGGAGGCAGAGGCAGGCAGATCTCTGTTAGTTCAAAGCCAGCCTGGTCTACATAGTGAGTCCAGGCCAGCTGGGGCTACAGGGAGACCGTGTCTCAAAAAAAGACCGGAAAAAAAAAAAAAAACCCAATACAGGGTAAATGCTGTGGAAATAGTTACTATACTGAATTGTTTAGAGAATAATGATGACAAAACTACAAATACAGGACAGATGAAATCACCCCATTCTTCTTACTACTTGTTTTAAATTTTAATTATTTTGTTTATTATTGTGTGTGTATATGTACGATGTGTATGTGAGTGCACACGTACCTGTGCCATAACCAGCATGTGGAAGTCAGGTGACAACTTTTAGGATTAGTTCTTTCTTCCAACATGGGTTCAGGGGATCTAACTCAGATTGTTACACTTGGGTGGTTTTCCCCACTAAGTCATCTCACCAGACCCATTATTACTACTAGTTAATGCTATCATTATTATTTTGGCTTTTTTCCCTACTGGTGCTGAGGACTGAACTCAGGGCCTTGCATTTGATAAACAAAAGCTCTATCACTGAGCTAAATGCCTAATTCTTATCATCATTATTATTAATACAAGGTCTCACTGTATAGCCCAGACTCCCTGATGCAGGCATGCCCCTCCCTCAAACCTCCAAGCGTCCCCATGCTTTGGATCTGAGGTTGGTGGAACCTGAAGCTATGGATGGATGCTGTGGTCACTGCCCACGAGGGCAGAGTGAGTAGGGCACTGTCCCACTCCCCCGCAGGGGTCTGCATGCAGGTCCTGCTCTCCCCAGTAGTAACTGAGATGTTCCTCCTCAGGTTAGCTGTTGGGAGCGATGGGCGACTGGAGCTTCCTGGGGCGGCTGCTGGAGAATGCGCAGGAGCACTCCACGGTGATCGGCAAGGTGTGGCTGACCGTGCTGTTCATCTTCCGCATCCTTGTGCTAGGGGCAGCGGCTGAGGAAGTGTGGGGTGACGAGCAGTCGGACTTCACTTGTAACACCCAGCAGCCGGGCTGCGAGAACGTCTGCTATGACCGCGCCTTTCCCATCTCTCATATCCGTTTCTGGGCACTGCAGATCATCTTCGTGTCCACGCCCACCCTCATCTACCTGGGCCACGTGCTGCACATCGTGCGCATGGAGGAAAAGAAGAGAGAGAGGGAGGAGGAGCTGCTGCGGAGAGACAACCCACATGGCCGAGGCCGCGAGCCCCTGCGCACCGGGGGCACACGGGACCCCCTGGTACGTGATGACCGTGGAAAGGTACCTATTGCGGGTGCACTGTTGCGGACCTACGTCTTCAACATCATCTTCAAGACGCTCTTTGAGGTGAGCTTCATCGCAGGCCAGTACTTTCTGTATGGCTTCCAGCTGCAGCCACTGTACCGATGCGACCGCTGGCCCTGCCCCAATACAGTGGACTGCTTCATCTCCAGGCCCACGGAAAAGACCATCTTTGTCATCTTCATGCTGGCTGTGGCCTGTGCATCACTGGTGCTCAACATGCTGGAGATCTACCACCTGGGCTGGAAGAAGCTCAAGCAGGGGGTAACCAACCACTTCATCCCAAATGCCTCAGAAGCCAGGCTCAAGGCCTTGGAACCCCAACCCCCAGCCTCTAGCCCTGGCCTGCCCAGCATCTCCATTGGATTCCCACCTTGCTACACACACCCTGCCTGCCCCCCAGGTCAGGCAAGGGCCACAGGGTATCCTGGGACCCCACCACCAGCAGCAGACTTCACTGTGATAGCCTTGAATGAAGCACAACGTGGAAGCCACCCTGCCAAGCTCTACAGTGGCCACCACCTGCTGATGACTGAGCAGAACTGGGCCAGCCAGGTGGCTGAGCAGCAGACTTCTGCTGGCAAGGCCTCTTCCACAGCCTCCAGCCCTGTCTGCCCCAGCAAGGGGCTCACAGACAGCAGTGGCAACGGCTTGGAGGAGAGTGTCTTGGTGGGGACACCTGAAGAGGAGGAGCAGGCCTTGGCCACCACAGCAGAGATGCACTTGCCATCTTTGGTCCCCCTGGACCCAGGAAGGTCCAGCAAGGCCAGTAGTGGGCGGGCCAGACCGGGTGACTTGGCCATCTAGCTGTGGTCTCTCCAGACAGCTTTACAGTTTATAGCTTTGTAACCCCCCCCCCAACACACACACTTTTTTCTAGAAACCAAAACCAAAGTGCTGTTCAAATCAGCAGTAGAGAGAAAGTCTGACAGAGCCCTGGAGTCCCCCGAGGAGGGACATGAAGTGAAAATGTGCAGGTGTTACATTTAATGCTTGCTGTTCTTGGGGCTGTGGGATATCATGAGGATGGCACCAGAGGTCTGAGATTGGCAGGAGACCAGAGGGGGCAGGGGTTCTTGGCCTTCAAGGATACTCCCAGTAATGGGTTGCTATTGGACGCCTACATCTCTGAGGTAACTGTTCTGTTGTGATAAAGCAACAGGTGTTTGCAGCCCTGCAGCAGGGCATGGTTGACTTTCCATTCCTAAGGTCTCCAAGCAGCCTAGAGAGTCACAGACATACTTAGCTCTATCTCTGCTTGATACTTTTAACTTAGGGTTGAATTTCATTTGGGATATTTGCCAAACTATACTAAAAAAAGATTTAGAGGGAGTCCATGTAGTGTCATTTGAGTTTCTGGAATCGCATGTGAAGCCCAGGATATCCATCTACAGACTGCATGACAAGTGACAAAGAGCAGTTACCCTCCAGAGGCAGTTGGGTGGGACAGGACCATAGAGATTACTGGTAGAGGCAGGTGGAGATGCAGAGACCCTGGGGAGCCCTTTTCAGCAGCTGAGGACATTGACATGAAAGTGTGGCAGATATGCCGTAGGTATTTCTTTTTTAAATGACATTTTGTGCTTTCATCTGAATGGTACAGATGAAATGGTTTGTGTATTTTCTCCCACGTTCTATCTTTCATCAAAAATAGCACTGTTGAAATGGATACTGACCAAGAAGATGCTAATTTGTCCTTCAGTATATTAGTTGCAATTTTGTACTTTCTTTTAAAAGAAATTCTTTAACTTCTAAGTCAACTAAATAAATCATTGTTAGAACATACTCTTATATAATAAAACCTGGAGAATTCAAATTCTTGAAGTTGTAAAGGAGGCTAAAAGTTAACTACTATTGCCAGGGAAAATATTTATACAGATGAATCAGTGATGACCTACACTTAAAAATAAAACAGTACAAAATAAAACACTTCAAGTTTCCTAGCCATTCTTTGTGAACAGCCTGTTTGCTTTCTAAAGTGCAAATAAAAATGTCTTGGTTTACTGCCTGTATAAGAAGAGCATGTGGCTGATCATGGGATGTCCTCCCTGTTTTCCACCCACTTGAGAACTGTCCTGTAAGGAGGCTATTTATGTACATGGGCTGGGCTGGAAGAGGGCAGAATTTTCACTACAGTGCACACTGCTCCTGCAATAGAGTCTCTGTCACTGTCACCATTTTTAATAAACCAATGGATAGAGATTGTGCTGAGCCTGCCTCCTCTCTTTACCTTCAACTTCTACTGAGTCTTTAGCCAAAGTTTTTGTCTTTTCCCGTTTAGTTCATTCCTTTCTATAAGTTAACCTGGTGATTCATTTGGGGCTACACCTCACATATTTGCTGTCTGCTACAGTAAAGGGTGATCCACTTTACCCCAACAGTGATGGGGACTGTGACTTCTAGGGCTCCGCTTTGCATGTGCAAATACACGGGGTTCATTAGTGTGTTCCACTTACTGTAGAACGTACTGGACAATCAGAGATTTAAAATACTCGGACTTCCCATACCCAGTCAGAGGAGTTAAACCCTTTGGAAATCATTTAAATGACTTTTCTCATTTCTCCTGGCCAGGTGCCAACCTAGGGCCATTCTAGAAGCATATATTCTAGCTCAGCACATGTAGTCTTTGGCTTAGGACAGCAAGACTTAGGTCTCTAGAGAGAAGGACTATGAGAAAATCCTGGCGCTAAGAGCATTCCGATAAAAATCTTGGTGGTTTTAGAAAATGTACTAGCAGTTGCCATCAAAGAGCAAAAGTACATCCCAGGTAGATGTGGCTGTTTCCTGAGTTCCTAAAATTCTACTGCAATAAATGTTGATGATGACAAGCTTTGGGTTCACCCACTATTTGATTTGGGGCAGAGTATTTAGTTTTCACATCTTAAAATTGGGCTGGGAAGATGGCTCAGTTGGTAAAGTGCTTGCCATAAAAGCATGAGGACCTGAGTTTGATCCCCAGCACCCATGTTGGTGGCATGGAATCCCAGACTGGGGAAGCAGAGTCAGGAAAATCTCTGGAGTTTGCTGGCCAGACAATCTAGCCAACAGGCTAGATTCAGATTCAATAAGAGACCCTGTCTCAGAAAATAAGGTGGAGAGCGACTAAGGAAGACATCTGACAATGACTTCTATCCACACACGTGCACATACACAAAAACATGAACACAACAAATTGAATTCTGTTCAGAATATGTTCATGAAAATGCCTATATTCATTGACCATGGTGTAGCTGGCCCATTTAGTTAATGTGTAGGAACATGAAATTAGACTAACCTACTTGAAAGTTACTACTTAAAAAGAAGTAGTATTTTTTAATAGAATGCTACCTGGGGTATTTTTTCAGGTCAGTGTCTTGCACAGTGTTGCTATTTGAGGTACAGTGATCCGGAAGAACAGGCTCCTTGTCCCTTCTGGCAGTGTGGAATTCCTCTGTAGTTGTGCAATAAAAATAGAAATTGCATCTCTGTGGGTAAGATTCCAGCCAGATGTTTTCTAGCCTTTTAATGAACTGGAGATTTCACCAACACTGTTTTTCTCTTGATTTAATAGAAAAAAATAAATTCCTAAGCTTATGTTAAAGACCATTCACTACTATATACCTATTATATTTACACATACAATGCTAAATTTGCAGTATGCAACAGTTCGATTTTATTTTAATGTATTTTATTTTTGAGAGAGAGGGTTTGAAGTCCAGGTTGGCTTTGAACTCATTATGTGTTTGAGGATAACCTTGAATTTCTGATCCAGCTGCCTCCACCTCCTGAGTGTTGGGATTACTGGAATTACAAGCATGAGCCACCACATCTGACAACATAGCTATTGCTTACATCCCTGTATGTAGAGTAACAGACATCAGTTGACCCCTGAGCCCAAGCTAAAGTGCTTATAAAATGTGAGGCATCACCATAGCACACAAAATCCATTTTCTAAAATTCCTTTTATTTTATTTTTATGTATATGAGCATATTGCCTGCATGTGTGTAAGTGTATCCATGTCATGCAGTGCCCAAGGAGGTCAGAAGACAGCGTCAGATCCCCTAGAGCTGGAGTTACAGACAAGTTGCTAGCCACCATGTGGGTGCCCAGGAATCGAACCCAGGTCCCCTGCAAGAGCAGCCAGTGCTTGTAACCACTGAGCTATCTTTCCAGCCCCAATAAACTTTATTTTACTGGGTTATTCTTGGGGTTTTGTTTGTTGATTTTGGTTTTGGTTTTCTTCATGAAACTGAATCCAAAACAAGATGTTTAAAAACAAAAAAAAGAAGAGGGGTAATATCAAGCTGCATATTTCTGATGCATCCTGACTCTGGATAAGTAGTAAGCAGAATACCAAACTCCTGTGTGTTGGGGTGGGAAGAAGGTGTGTGCACGCATGCACATAAGTTTTGGGTCCAAGGTCTCAGTAGCTTAGACTGGCCTAGAACTCAAAGCAATTCTGCTTTATACTGGAATTACAGGCATGGACTACCACACCCAGCTCAAAGTATTAAATTCTTGGGATGTGTTTTGTTTTGTTTTAGACAGGGTCTTTAGCCCAGGCTAGCCATTAAATCCCTATGTACCCAAGAATGACCTTGAACTTCTGATCACCCCCCAAGTGTTGGGATTACTGATGTGCACCACCCTCATGGATATGCAGTACTGGGAATCAAACCCAGGACGTCATGCATACTGAACAAGCATGCTACCAACTGAGCTACATCCCCAGCCCTTAGAGCTTAGTATTATTAAATAAAGGTACCTAGAGCCAGGTCTGCTGGCACATGCATATAATTCTAGCACCGGGGAGGCGGAGGCAGGAGGATCACCATGAGTTTCAGGCAAGCTTGAATTAGAGTGTGAGATCTTGTCTCAACAAAATGAAAGGAAGAAAGGAAAAAATATATCTAGACTAAGAACTATGAATATAATTCAAATATTAACTTATTAAAAACTAACCTAACTGGGTTTAGGTCCTTTTTTCAGCTTAGGCTTATTATCATCACTAACACTTCCTTTAATACTTTAGGTATTTTAAGTGTCAACTTGATACACCTGGATTGAGGGAGCCTCAACTGGGTAATTGCCTCCATTGAACTGGCCTGTGGCCATGTCTGTGGGGCATCTTCTTGATTGTTGTGTGATGTGGGAGGGCCCAGCCCACTGTGGGTGGTGCCACCCCTGGGTAGGTGGGCTTGTGTTGCATAAGAAAGCAAGCTAAGTAGGGGCCAGGGGAGCAAGCCAGTAAGCAGCTTTCTTCCCTGGCCTGTGCTCTAGCTCCTGCTTCCAGGATCCTGCCCTAAGTTCCTACCTTGGGCTCCCTGATGAACTGTGACCCAGGAGATGTAAGATAAAACAAGCCCTTTCCTCCCCAAGTTGGTATTGGCCAGAGTATTTTGTCACAGCAATGGAGAAACAAGCTAGGACAGAAATTGGTACTAGAGAGCCAGGTACTGCTGTGACAGCCCTAACGTTGGAGGATTGTGGAAGCATTTGGAACTTTGGGCTGGAAAAACCATTGCATGCTTAGAGTTTGTTGTTGTGGAGCTTGGAACAGGTATGTTGAAAGAGTTGTGGACAATGGAGGCCTGGCTTGTGAAGCTTCAACGGGAAACAGAGACTATCAGTGCTGTTTGTGTGATATTTTGAATTGAGAATCTGTGGGTTCTGGTCAGTTAGGGCTGAAGAATCAGCTGTGATTTCTAAGAAGAGACCAGAACCTGAAGTAAAACCTTTACTGGGACAATTGATGCTGGTTAGCTGGGGCTGAAAAATCAGCTCTAAGTAACAAAAGACCAGCATCACTGTGGTGAAGTCTTCTGGGAGGTATTTCCTCAGGGTCAGCACAGAGAGGGGACCTGACTCTCTATCTCAACCTGGGAGCAGGAGTTGGTAATGTGTTAAGAGTCTGGTGTTGAAAGCGTGAAGGGGTCACAGAGAGCAGCTGAGGCTTGAGCCCAGGAAAGTCCATAGGTGAAAGCTTCAGTTGCAGTGAAGACCCCAGGATTGAAGGGATCATGGAGAGACTCGGAGGCTTTGCACCCCAAGAGGCAAGAAGAGGCCATTGGTGAAGGTGTAGCCTCAGTTTCAGAGGAGACCCCAGCTTTTTGGAGATGCTGGGACCATGGCACGACCACTAAGGACAGCAGTAGATGTGGAACAGACCTGGCCTGGGTCTGTGAGATGAACTGTGTGTGCTGTGAACGGTAGAGTCAGAGAAGTGGAGTTGCCAGAACCTTTTGGAGCCCAGAAGATCATGAGTGAATCCCAGATGTCCAGCCTTGAGCTACTGTGCTGGACTTTGGTTTTGCTTAGGTGTGCCCGATTCTTCCCTTTGAAATAAGACAGTACTTGTTTTGGAGTTTACAGAAGCCCATCCACAGTTAAGAGACTTTTAAAAGAGACCATGAACTTTTAAGTGTTTGGATTTTTTAAGGACTGTGGGGCTTTTAAGGTTGTACTGTCTGATGTTGTGATATTAACATATCTTGAGGACAAGTTGGAAAGATTATGGTTTAATAGTAATGTGTTTGTGTGTCAAGCTGACAAGGGGTCAATTGGGCTGGATAGCTTTAGTGTCAACTTGACACCACTGTGGGTGGTGCCACCCCTGGGCAGGTGGGCCTGTGTTGCACAAGAAAGCAGGCTTCATAGGTGCCAGGAGAGCAAGTCAGTGAGCAGTGTTCCCCCATGGACTGTGTTCCAGCTCCTGCTTCCAGGTTCCTGCCCTGAGTTCCTTCCTTGGGCTCCCTGATGAACTGTGACCCGGGAAATGTAAGATAAGTAAGCCCTTTCCTCCTCAAGTTGGTAGTGGTCAGAGTATTTTGTCACAGTAATTGAGAAACAAACTAGGACAGTATTACTGAATGAAATTATTTTTTGGCATTTTTTTCTCTGAACTTTTTCTTCTGATATTTAATCCGTGAATCTCCACCACAGTAACTGTATTGTGTAATTTAAGAGGATAAATGTGTTTTGCAAAGATCAATAGATTTCTGTCACATTTGGGATAGTGTAAACATCCTTTAAATATCATGCACAGGTGAGAGAGGTGAAGGTGTGCCTTGGTGGCG